AACCCCTCCTGCGTCATCGGTATACGCTGGCGGGGCACCAGTGAAAGATGATAGGTGAAGATGAATGCAGGTCAATTAGCCTATCATGCTGAATTTTACAAGAATTAACTACGATGGTTTCCAGGGGGAATCGCTTGGAAGTCGACCTGATAGGATATATTGCTAGCAATGAGTATGTTATACCCCATTATTAATAATCCCTTTTCCCCCAAACATACATGCATACATATCTGTCACGCCTGTCTCCCGTTAGAGTAGACAGAAACAATGAAACGCCAAATGCTTCGATCCAAACAAGCCTCTTTCGCTTCCTCCACATTCATCAATCTTTTCATACACGCTCGCCGGTTACGGGTACTTTTAATTTGGCCCTTCTTCAGCACGTCGCCTATTTGGTCGTATACGTCCGTCTAAGGCGGCCCCTACCAACATCTCTATTCATTCTTGCTCGATAAATCTCTTTCGTAATTCTTCTTTCATCCATCTAATCAATTGTATTTAATTCAGAGTGAATTCATCACGATAAGCCAAATCATTTTATTTTATTTTTTATAATGTTTTAGGGACTTTCATCCTATTTCGCTTATGCCAGTCCCATCGTACTTTTAATTAATATTAACATTTTTTTTATACAACTTAGAATGGCAAACAAGCTGACGACCCACCTGATGGATAGTGGTAACCGTCGCCTATAGACATGAGCAGTACCATGGACATAACAGAGTATACTGTTTCGCCCATGATACCCCCCATACGTTGCCATTCCTGAGGACTCAGGTGTTATTCCTCTGTACCCAGTAAATTCACGCCCTTCAAACCGAAACACAGCCATGCAAACACAATTGCTTCACGGTAGAAACACGAATGGGACAGAGGTACCAAAGCAATCGACTTTTGTACAAAGTCTCTCAATTGAAATATCTAATTAGGTGGTAAAACAATCTAGTAGCTATCGAAGTAGCTTTACTAATATATTTATTACTATTTGTTTATTGCTTTAACTGGTATTTCTCACTAGCGTGTATACGCTATATATATATATATATATATATATATATATATATATATATATATATATATATATATATATATATATATAGTAGGTGGGATTACCGTTGCATTGTATTATATTGTAAAATCTTTATTGTACAAAATTTACATTGGTCACATTAAAAAAAAATATACAATGGCGGACTTATCCCATAGAGGGATCTCTTACAGTCAACCTTTGAGAAGCTGAAAGTAAACCATTCATTATTATCTATTTAAAAAAATTCACAAAACAGACTATTTGCATTTCATTTCAAATTTGATTTTTTTTTTAAATAATAATATTTTTATTTAAATCTTTTATTCGTTTTTAATAACAATTTTCCATAAGCTACCAGAGGGAGACTGTAGAAAAGTCGTTTGCTTGGGCACCTTTGCCCCATTCGTGTTACTACCGTGAATCAGTTGTGTTTGCATGGCTGTATTTCAGTTTCAAGGGTGAAATATGGCGGTGAATTTACAGGGTACAGAGGAATAACATCTGAGTCCTCGAGAATGGCAATGTATAGGAGGTATCATGGACGAAACGGTATATTCTGTTATGTCCATGGTACTGCTCATGTCTATAGGTGACGGTTACCATTTTCCATCAGGTGGGCCGTCAGCTTGTTTGCCATTCTAAGTAGTATAAAAAAAAAGCTAACTAGCTTCATACGTATGGATTTTAGAAGTAGGAAAACTAATTAAATTAATTACTTCTAGATAATCTTTACTTATAATAAATCTGTAGAGAGGTCAATTCTGTACATGAAATATATTTCCAAAATAACTATCAGGGGGTGATTAGTGATCGATACTGATGCCGAAAATGCAATCAGTAACATTTTTGTCTGTCTATCTGTATGTTCGTTATAGAAACAAAAACTACTACTAGACGGATTTTAACGAAACTTGGCACAATTATTCTTCATACTCCTGGGCAGGTTATAGGTTATAGTATACTTTTCATCACGCTACGATCAATAGGAGCAGAGCAGTGAAGAGAAATGTATCTGTTACCTCAAAACCACTGAACCGTGAGGAAGGACATAGGCTACTTATTTTATGAAAAAGACGGAAACGCGGTCGAAGTCGCTAGCAACATCTAGTATACGATATAAGAATATATACAAATTTATTAAGTTAGATCTTCTTTTATATATATTCTTTTATATATATAGATCTTTCAATTTGCTGCAGTACTTTTTTAATTATGCTAAAATAAATATACAGACAGATAGACAAAATTAAAAAAAATATATATTGTTTTCGAATCTCTATCTATTGGTCTTATAAAGGACCCACCATATTAATTTTCCTTAGGTGTCTCCCTACAAACAAACATCGCATAGTTACAAATTTACTATAATAATAAAATGTTAGTTAATTTACACACATACACACACACACACACAATTATTGTTACTTTATTATTGTTATTTTTTAGGAGAATTATTTACAGAATGACATAATTTGTACTCAATTATTAATTAGCACTGGCATTGAATTAAATCTAATGTATTGTTGTTGATTGGTTTTTTAACATAGTATTATAATTTTATTATTATTAATTGAATAAATAGTTGGTGTAGTATTAAGTCACTTATATGTATGCATTAAATGTAATGTATCTTGTACCCAATAATAATTTTGCATGCTTTAAAATATAAGGCGAACATACATACAGTGTATTTTCATAAATCATTGCTGTGCAATTACATTCATTTTTTGTACTCGTTATAATCTATTTTGCTTTGTTCACTTAATTGTTTTTGGCATTCGAAGGATTAAAAGAGTTGTAATTCATTATAAGTATTCACACTTAGTGACATTTTTATTGTTAAATAAATAAATAAATAAAATACTTTGTCACTAAAATAAATAGATATTTTACAATGGTGAATGTTTTGGACAAACCCCAAAATCACTTTTCTGAGTACTCGGCTATTTTCCACACAAATGAAACCGGATAACTTGAAGTATTTAAAATTCAAAACAATCCTTCTCAATCTTCAATTGTTCTTTTAACAGAACAGCCAATTACTAATGAATGAACGAATGGGTATACTTTATTTGCATTATACAATATAGGAAATAAGCAAGGCAATTTACAAACACACAATAAGGCAGTCTTTACTAATAATTTTTGGTTAGATTTTTTCATGAAATAAAAAGTCACACGGTAGTTCAAAAATTTAATCCCTTCACTGGCCACCCAGTTTGCTAAAAGAATAATTGTAGGAGAATAAATCTTATTACAACGAGGTTAAAGCGAAATGTAAATCGAATATTTGAATAAGGATACATGTTTGAGTGATTCGCTAGTAAATATTTGTATCAATTAACACGATTCTGTCATTCTGTCACTAACTATTGAGGCACAGTTCCGCCGGCGGTACTGTGATTCACAGACAATAATCGATATCTGTTAAATTGTTAATTTATTTGTTGAATTTGCAATTGTTGAATTGATTGCCGGCTGCGAATACACGGTTTAATAATAAGTACATTTTGCTTTACTTCTTTTTACTTGTATCTTCTGGCTGCACACACAGCAGCAACACAAACACACACACACACACACACACACACACACACACACACACACACACACACACACACACACACACACACACACACACACACATACACACACACACACATGCACACACGCACATTCACAGTAATGCACACACATAAACACACACACATAAACACACACACACAAACGCGCACGCACGCACGCACGCACGCACGCACACATGCACATACATCCAATGAACAAAGACATCTTTTGTAAGGGGAAAGGGATAGTTTAGGTTATCTTCCGCGCAATTCTCCCTGGAAACCATTGTCGTTAATTCTAGTTGAATTCGTCAGGATGGGCTCTGACTTGGTTTCATTCTAATCTGTTATCTGTTACTAGTACTCCGACGGTGTAGTTTACCGGGTTTACGGGGTTTACCGGGTCAAACGGGGTTTCCATTTCATTTTTATTATTAAAAAAAAAAGTTTTGTTATCTACATTGAAAATATTTGATTTTAGAACGCTGAATAATCTGTAGGCACAGATAAATATTGTTTGGTAACAAGATTTTTTTGTACAACAAAGAAAAAGAAAAAATGTATGTGACCTCAAAAGATGTCTCGTAGATTAGATTTCCTTGTTAGTCTAGTTTTTGATCATTGGATATCTTAGTTTGAGGTAATTAGTATGTTTGTAATTATAAACTTTAAAAACTATGACATATGGTTGTATGTATGTATGTGTGTATATGTATGTGTATGTGTATATGTATATATATGTGTCTGTGTATGAATGTATATATGTGAATGCATGTGTGTATATATATAATTATTTATAATTTATGTAAATATTTATTTAAATTTCTGTCTTGCACTACTACTGCCCACTCACTACTTCCTATGCCACTGCGTTAGGTTGACTGGAAGAAATCTCTTTTAGAGATAAGTTCGCCTTTGCTAACATTGTTATTAACTTATTGTTGTTACTGTATGTTTTTGTGCAATAAAGAATATATATATATATCTTCAATAGAACTCACCATCAGATAATTTCAGCGTATAAAAATACAGAGACTTTTTTTTTAATGGGTGATAATGGAATGGTATCCCCACCTGCGCTCTCGATATACACCGACGGTGCACCAGTGAAGAATGATAGATGAGGATGAAGCAGGTCAGTTAGCCCATCGTGACGAATTCAACAAGAATTGTTCACGATGGTTTCCAGGGGGAACCACGTGGAGGTCGACCTTTTAGCGCATATTGCTAGCAATGGGGCTGTCAAACTCCATTACTAACAATCCCTTTCCCCCCCAAATACTTGAACTTGTAGAACTGGTTCATGCATGAACCGCCGTGTCGGAACATAAGTATATATATATATATATATATATATATATATTTATTACATTATATCGTAATCAAAGGATCATGCAATTAGTATCGACTATGTGCAGTTTATATATTTGTGTAAAAAATAACTTTAACAACTATAAAATATGGTCGTAATTTCAGTAGAACTCCCCATCAGAGAGCTTCAACGCGTAGAGATGTAGCGACCTAAACTCGCAGAACTGGTTCGTGCACCAGCCGCCGTGGCCGTCGGTGCATCGGCACGAGTCACACTCGTCCATATACTTCTCCCCTGGGATACACTTGAAGAATGGGTTCTTTATTACTGTAAAGAAGTAGAAGAAACCGTCATAAAAAAAAATTAAATAAGTTATAATCGTCGTAGATTACAGTAAAAACAGTTTTTTTTTTAATAGATGATAATAAGGGGGAAAAGAGATTGTTAGTAATGGAAACTGAGAATCTCATTGCTAGCAATATACCCAGCCAGGTCGACCTCCTAGCGGTTCCCCCTGGAAACAATCTGGGTAATTCCTGATGAATTCATTATGATGGGCTAACTGGCCTGTTTTCATTCTCATCAATCACCCGTCACTGGTGCTTCGCCAGCGTATCCCGTTAGCGCAGGCGGGGTTACCATACCATTTTCACCCATCAAAAAAAAAAAAAATAGATGATAATAAAATGGTAACCCCGCCAGCGCTAACGCTATACGCTGGCAAAGCTCTAGTGAGGGATGATAAGCGAGAATGAAAAGGCAGGTCAGTAAGCCTATCGTGATGAATACACCTGGAATTGGGAGAATAATGGATTATTAAAAATGGGAATTAGTATCCGCATTGTTAGCAATACACTGTATCAAGTCGACCTTCTCGCGGTTCTTCCTGGAAAGTATCGTGTTCTATTCCAAGTGAATCCATCACGATAGGCTAACTGACCTGCCTTTTCATTGTCACCTATCATCCCTCACTGGTGCCCCGCCAGCGTATACCGTTAGCGCAGGCGGGATTACCATTTCATTATCATCCATTTAAAAAAATACACCTGGAAATCACCACTATGGTTTCCAGGGGACCGCGATGAGATCGACCTGACAAGGTATATTGCTAGCAATTGGACTGGTAGTTCGCATTACTAATAATCCCTTTCCCCCACAGAAAAAAGTCAGGGCACTAGATAGAGCGATGGCTTTAAACGCATTGCAGGGAATCAGTGCATGCAGGAGGCTCAGGACCGTTCCTTATGGTAGCCTATGGGGGACTTATGTTCAGCAGTAGACACTTAATGGCTGAAATGATGGTAATGTCTATATACCTGTGCACCTAAGACATGGTGTACTCCTCTCGCATAGCGCGGTGACCGTCGGCTCGCAGTACACGCACGATGGCATGGCCCTGCATGCCCCTGAGTCCTGGGACTCGCACAGCAGACAGTTCTTGTTCTCAGGGACCAGTGTTAGAGACGTTTCCTCTTCCCAGTACTGGTGCGGCGGTTTCGGCTTCACAAATTGGGAGACCACGTATCTGAGAGAAATAGCAATTAATAAAGCTTAAAACAAAAATGGGGTATATACATATATAATAGGTAATAATTCAGCTTTTTTTATACAATTTAGAATGGCAAACATGCTGACAGACCACCTGATAGACAGTGGTAAGCGTCGCCTATAGACATGGGCGGTACCATGTACATAACAGAGTATACTGTTTCGCCCATAATAATATGCGATGCCATTCCTGAGGGCTCAGGTGTTTTTCCTCTGTACCCCGTAAATTCACTGCCATATCCCACTTTTCAAACCGTAACACAGCTATGCAAACACAAATGCTTCACGGTAAAAATACGAATAGGACCGAGGTACCCAAGCAATATACAAAGCTTCCTAATGGTATTTCTGAATAGATGAAGGAAAAAGGAATTTGTAAATACATACGCCTGTGATCCTGGCCGGTAGATGGGCGGGGATACTTCAGCACCCCCTCCCACTGAGCTCAGGGTACTAGGCAGCGGTGCTCCACGGATGTGTGACATGCGAGGATCTGTTACAATGAAGATTAATTAACAAAAAGTTACGTTCACCAACCAGAGGTAATTGTTAATTGATGCTTTTTTGTGAATATGGTCACATTTCGCCGGGCATTTTATTTTTATGATCGATAGTGGTATTGCCCACTGTTTATTTTTTTTAATTGGCGATAATGGAATGGTAACCCCGCCTGCGCTATCGGTATACGCTGGTGGGGCACCAGTGAGGGACAGGTGACGATGAAAGCAGGTCTGTTAACTCATCGTAACGAATCCCATTAGAAATGACCACAATAGTTTCCATGGGAAACTGTGTGGAGGTCGACCTGATAAGGTGTATTGTTAGTAATGGGGAAATTATATCGCATTACTAACAATCCCTTTCCCTCCAACTGCCTACGTTATTACCAGTAAGACTTCATAGGTGAGGATGAAGTCAGTTCAGTTAGCTCGTCGGTGTCATGGTGAATTCACCAGGAATTAACCACTATGGTTTCCAAGAATATTAAATTAGAACCAAGTAGTAATGTAGGAGAGTACAGAGATTCTCTAGATACAATTTTATTATATTAGAATTATCACATAAGAAGTAAAATCATTATTTTTTTATTTGTAAATTCTAAAGATCTTTCTTTGTTCTTACAAAGAAATGTTTTTGTTCAAGTAAACTTAGATTTAAGCATTCTTGAACAGTCATTTTGTCATTATTGTAACGCCCATTCGTAATGTAATAACAGCTGACAACTGGAAATTTTAGCCAAGCATAACAAGCCAGAGGGAGACTTTGTACAAAAGTCGATTGCTTGGCTCTGTCCCATTCGTTTTCCAACCGTGAAGCAGTTGTGTTTGCATGGTTGTGTTTCGGTTTGAAGGGTGGGATATGGCGTGAATTTACTGGGTACAGAGGAATAACACCTGAGTCCTCAGGAATGGCAACGCATGGGGAGTACCATGGGTGAAACAGTATACTTTGTTATGTCCATGGTACTGCTCATGTCTATAGACCACGGTTACCACTTTCCATCAGGTGGGCCGTCAGCTTGTTTGCTATTCTAAGTTGTATAAAAAAAAAGAAAGAAACTAAGCTGTTACTTTTTAAAAAGTTCAATTATTATATAATTATGAATTTGTGTGAATACAAATTACCGAGCAGTAGGGGAAAGGGATTGTTAGTAATGGAGACTGAGAATAGCAATATACCCAACCAGGTCGACCTTCTCGCGGTTCTACCTGAAAGCTATCATGGTTAATTCCTGATGAATTCATCATGATGAGCTAACTGGCCCGTTTTCATTCTCATCTATCACCCTTCACTGGTGCTCCGCCAGCGTATACCGTTAGCGCAGGCGGGGTTACCATACCATTTTCACACATAAAAAAAAACTACCGAGCAGTATCAGATTTCTTACCATCACCATAACCTGAAACAGCGATAAAGGAATACACCAAGACAATTACACTATTTATCATTTTTCACACGTAATACTTAAAATTACTACACAATTGTAATTCCATGAGATGTTGAAAGGCACAACAATGTTGTTAACGTGCCAATCGTTCAATATCAGTGCACACTAATTGATCTGTTCATGCCAATTACACGAATATACGAATCGGCTTATACGGTACGCTTCAATTTGATACGTAAAATAAAGGGATTTTTTTTTTTATTTCGACTCATACAGTATTTTTAGATCTAGGATTATATAGACAGGGCATCGTGTCTCAAAGAAGTTTCGAAATTCAATCTGCCGAACGTCATTTGTGGTTCATAGAATTTAAACACATTTGGGCAAAAAGATATTTAATAATAATATAATAAAAATATATTTTTATTAAAGGCAACCAGGGTCCACAAAATTTTAACGATATTAATTTGCACCAACTATAAATTATTAAATCAATTTTTTTTTATATTTATAAATAAATAACATTAACTTGACCTACTTTTTTTTGTATGTTAGCCAGTATATGAATCATTCTGCAACGATTCAAATATTGGCAGTCTGGACGGTCCGCGGTATTTGTTCTTAAAATTTTGAAGATAATAAAATTCTTAGAGAAATTTGATTAGTTTTGTTGGAGATTTTGGCTAATAGCTTTTGTTTTCACTTGTATACAGCCATAACGTACATAATTACAGTAAAACATATGACATAAAGGTACATAAAAGAGTATAGGACAAGAGACATTCCTTTTGTAGCACACGGCTAAACGTAGTGAAAAACAATACAAGTTTGTGATAGGGTAAAAATTTAAAAATGCTGTAAATCATGTGGATTAGGAGAAAAAATATTTATTTCACGTTTGGGCAGAAATCTAAAATTGTATCTGGCAACTCTGCATTGCTTATACATCTAAACAATATCAATACATTCTAATATCCCGATTCGCCTGTATTGACGAAGTGTTTGAATGGAGACAATCAATGATCCAGATGTAGTAACGTTAAATGACCTTCATCATCATCGTCATCGAAGTCATTATCTGTCCACTGCTTCCTCATAGACTGCTAAATACCCTTAGATGAAATTAATTCTATCGTTACATTCATTATTTTGCTTATTCCTTGTATAATATTTCTACCGTAAAGCAGTTGTTTGCATGGCTGTGTTTCGGTTTGAAGGGTGGGATATGATAGTGAAACAGGGTACAGAGGAATAACACCCGAGTCCTCAGGAATGGCAACGCATGGGGGGTATCATGGACGAAAAAATATACTTTGTCATGTCCATGGTACTGCTCATGTCTATAGGCGACGGTTATCACTTTCCATCAGGTGAGCCATCAGCGTGTTTGCCATTCTAAGTTGCATAAAAAAAAAGTTGCATAAATAAAATACACTCATTTATTTATTCGTGAAGGAATGGGTAAACAGTGCGTAATAAAAGTTTTATAAACGTTGCCTCATCCTGTATAGTGCATAAGTAATATCTCCCCAATTAACAATTTTTATACTGAGCCATAGCAATGTTATTACGTACCTACGAAAGATTTTTATATACACACTAGCTGACTCGGCAAACGTTGTTTTACCATATACATTATTTCGAAAACTCTACATGAAAATTTATCCTACTACAATTATTATATTCGATTGCTATCTTGTAACCCTATTGGGGATTATAAAAATCGCAATTAAAGGGGTAAAAACAAGGGTTGATCGTAAAAGCGTGAAAATTTGAATTTGTATGTATTTTTCAATGCTAAGTCATAACAAAATAAAAATAATTGACAAAAAAATAAAAATAAATTATTTAGAGGTGGGTCACCCTTATCATTAAGGGGTATGAAAAATAGATGTTGGCCGATTCTCAGACCTACCTAATATGCACACAAAATTTCATAAAAATCGGTAAAGTCGTTTCGGAGGAGTTTGGTAACAAACACCGCGACACGAGAATTTTATATATAAGACTAGCTGACTCAGCAAACGTTGTTTTACTATATACATTGATTCGAGAACTATACATGAAAATTTATCGTACTACAATTATTATATTCGATCGCCATCTTGCAACCCTATTGCGGATTATAAAAATCGCGATTAAAAGGGTATAAACAGGGGTTGATCGTAAAAGCGTGAAAATTTAATTTGTATGTATATTTCAATGCTAAGTCATAATAAAATAAAAATATAAAAATTAACAAAAAAATAAAAATAAATTATTTAGAGGTGGATCACCCTTATCCTTGAGGGGTATGAAAAATAGATGTTGGCCGATTCTCAGACCTACCCAATATGCACACAAAGTTTCATAAAAATCGGTAAAGCCGTTTCGGAGGAGTTTGGTAACAAACACCGCGACACGAGAATTTTATATATTAGATGTACAAGCTGTACAATTTATAAACATTATTTAAGGGAATCGACCGAATGTCAGATTTCACATGAAAAAGTTCCTGTCAATTTCAAATTTCGAAGTTAGTTTTATTATAAATGTTTTATATTACATTCACAAGTTTCACTTAATTCAACACTAGATGGCGCGTTACAATACTTTTGCCTCCAGTACTTAGGTTATATTATATGTATGTGTTTGTTATAGACTTTAAAAAAGTAAGTTATTAAAAAAAACACAAAAACAAAGAATTATTTATTTATTTAACTCTTTATTGCACCATAAATAAAAATATACAATGACAAGTGAATAATTCAAATGAAATACAGTAAGAATTAGAACACGTTTTCGACCATGAAATATTTCTTTGTTTATTTACAAAACTGATAGCTAACAAACAGTTCGCGACTGAGACGATTCGTTCTAATAACTTGTTATCTTTAAACATTATACATATATGTTACTAAGTGTTATCCACGGCTCTACTCGCGTGAATCAATACATAAAGTATCCTATGTACCTACTAAATTGGGGTAAAACTTATCCGTGTACCAAATTTTATTTAAATCATTCGAAGTAGTTTTTCGTGAAAATGTATCAAATATTTATCCATGCATTTTTATAAACTTTCGCTATTATAATCCTAAGATGGATCCTAAGATTATTTAATACATAATTAATTAATTAATTAATTAATAATTAATTAATAATTAATTAATTAATTCACTCTTGCGCCACCTGCCCTTTTCTATCTGTTCTCCTTTAACTAAAGGTTGTCTGTAAGAGATTGCCCTAGCGATAAGACCGCCTTTTGTACCTTTATGTGTATATTTCAATCTGTATTTATGTTACTGTATTTCATTTGAATTATTCACTTGTCATTGTATATTTTTATTTATGGTGCAATAAAGAGTTAAATAAATAAAAAAATAAATAAAATAACCATAGCGCAAGCATACTATTCCATTTTTTTTTTAATGGATGACAATGAATTGGTATTCTCTGTATAAACAGTATACTCTGTTATGTCCATGGTACTGCTCATGTCTATAGGCGACGGTTACCACTTTCCATCAGGTGGGCCGTCAGCTTGTATGCCATTATAAGTTGTATAAAAAAATGGTAGACCCTGCCCGGGCTAACGGTATAAACCGGGGGAAAGAGATTGTTAGTAATAGAGACTGGGAATCCCATTGTTAGCAATATACCCAACCAAGTCGACCTCCTCGCGGTTCCACCTGGGAACTATCATGGTTAATTCCTGATGGATTCATCATGATGGGCTAACTGGCTGTTTTCATTCTCATCTATCACCCTTCACTGGTGCCCCGCCAGCGTATCCCGTTAGCGCAGGCGGGGTTATCATTCCACTTTCACCCATAAAAAAAACGATATAAACCGGCGGGGGACCAGTGAGCGATGATAAGTAAGCATGTAAAGAAAGGTCAGTTAGCCCATCGTGACGACTACACCTAGAATTCAGAACGATGGTTTCCAGGGAAGACCACGTAGAGGTCGACCCGGTTGGGTATAATGCTAGCAATTGACTTTTATCTCCATTACTAACAATCCCTTCCCCCTACCGTTCCATTTTCACTCATAAAAAATAAGTACCAAAAGATATGCCCCAACTGTTCACAATCACGAGAAACCCATAATTATATTTTTATCGGGCCAGACTTAATAAAACTCATTTCGCGATAAATTATCACAGGTTGTGATAATCACATAACAAAATTAATATGCAGCAATATATACCTAATAGAGGGCAATAAAAACATTATGACGACCATCGATCACGACGGAAACGAACACCTGACGCCATAGACAAGGCCCAATATTGGTTTTATTGGATAAATAAACGATTATAAGCGATAATATTCATAACGTAATCACTTTGACTACGATAAACAACCCTTTTTTTTTTTAACTAGGGTGAAAATCTTCAGGAAGATACCCATCCGCCGGCGGGACGACGGATGGGTACTGTGGGATTTTTACCCACTAAAAACACCCCGGTATTCCTCTCAGCGCCGTGTGCCGGTGGCGAGGGCTCGCGGTTGCAGTCTTCCGCGTCACCGGCAGCACGATAAACAACCTTAGGATCTATTAAAGAGAGATAATATAAATAGAAAGATAAAATATGTTGGTACCTAAATGCTTGGACAGAAATTTTTTATTTAAAAAAAAAAAGTGCTATTTATTTTAAATAAATTAATATTTTGTGCTATAAAAAAAAAGACTTTAATTGTAGCAATACTTAAATGATTTTGATACTATTTCTATGGGATTAATCTGTAAGCATGATACTCTTTCAGATAAAGAAATAATTTTCTGAATTGGGTTAATACTGATATGTTATGAAGGAACAAATCGAATTAAACAAAAAAAAATATTTTTTTTGTTGATGAAGTTTGGAAGTAACAAACATAGAAAATACAGCCGAATTGATAGCCTCTTCTATTTTTGAAATCGGTTGAAAATGGCATGCCTTTTTTTATACAACTTAGAATGGCAAACAAGCTGACGGCCCACCTGATGGAAAGTGGTAACCGTTGCTATAGACATGAGTAGTACCATGGACATAACAGTGTATACTGTTTCGCCCATGACACCCCCCATGCGTTACCATTACTGAGGACTCAGGTGTTATTCCTCTTTACACTGTAAATTTACGCATTTCGAAAGATATAAACATGTATGAATCTTATACGAGTAATTGGCGACTTTTATCA